TTAGTAAAATTTAAGCCGATAATATAAATGTGGACAGTGATGGAACAGTTCATCATGAATAATAAATTTGTTTAATAACCTCCGAAACTTTGCCTAATACGCATTACTTTTAATTCCAAATTATTGCAAACATAAAAGTTGTAGTGTATATTGTTTGATTTAAATTAAAATAACTTTATGTACCTTGATAATTTCTTGTATTTACGCGATTACACATTATAAATGAAACAAATTTTACGGATTTATCGCGTTTATTTTTAATTTTAATTCCCGACGTTTCGAACCCTTTAGAGCGTTCACGGTCTGTCCCGTGATCATGAACGCTGTAAAGGGTTCGAAACGTCGGGAATTAAAATTAAAAATAAACGCGATAAATCCGTAAAATTAGTTTCATTTATGTACCTTGTTTATGAATTTGTTCTAATAAAGGTTTTGAAAATGTTACGTTTAGAATTCATAATTTTCGTCCATGTACATTTTGCCTTCGTGGACTTTTCTGTTCTAGGGCATTAACACAACTTAAATGCGCCTTGGTTTTTAAACTCACTACTAACTTAAGTGTGACAGTAGTTAACTTACGAGCCGGTAATAAATACTTGGTATCTCTAAAGAAGCATTACAAATCAAATAACACCAGTTGCCAATATAATAGCTTAAGTAGCAACTTTGTTATAGCGTTTAAGATGCTTTACAAGTGTTTAGTACCCTTAAACAGTTTCGACGACCGCCATCTTGATTTTAACTGACAACGTCAATTAAAAAAAGTTTATAAACATTTTAAATTTATTCAATGGGAAGGACACATAATTATAAATGAGAAAAGACACTTAAAAATGATGGTTAGTTGCAAATAATAAAATAAGCGAAAAAATTAAATTAAAACTTGATATAGTGCAAATAGCACATAGTAATGAAAGAAATTTCATTTTTTTTTTTTAAGAAAAAATTGATCGAAATATGCACAAGGTGCAAAGCTCTAGTAACCCTTCATAATTACTTGCTTCTTTCTAGCGCAATACTTAAAAAGGAATTTTGATGATTCAAAATGTGAATCAAAAGCAAACGCCTACACATTGCTATACGTCGGTTCTCGTCTACGTTAATAGACATGCATCGCGTAAGTCACACATTAAGCGGCCCCCGTACATCCTGTCAACAGATCAATCCCATTAGTTCTTATTTGAGCTTCATCTGCACGCTGGATGCGCTGACAAGTCGAAATGTCGCATACGATAAATGCACGTTCCAACCACGTCATTATGACGGCGGAACTATCATGACAGACTATCGATAATGACTCAGTCATTAACAAAATTACACAACGCTTCATTGAGAATACCTCTAAATATAAAACATTGCAAAGTTTTCTATTTGTAATGCTGTATAAAAAATTAAACTCGTTATTTCATTGTGTATTGCTAAAAATAACTGAAAAGTCATCTTGCAATTTTTCAGTCACATTAAAAACTCTTGCTTAATGTGACAAAAAATTCAGCGATTCTTTGTAACATACTAACTTGGAAAGCGACAGCAAATATTAAAATTTTATCAGCAAATATAATATTTTTAAAATAACTACAACTTTTCAAAATGAATATCATAAAAAGTTTTGAAGTACACTTATTTGTTTAAGGGACTACGGAGTTCGCAGGGAAGTTATGTTTTGTTTCTATTATAAATTGAGGTCCTTTTCTATGCATAGGGCAAATGTTTAATTATTTCTAAACAACAAAATAAAGAAACACATACAGTCATAGTTCCCGGCATATTTTGTGCTATAAACAAATACCACATACTTTTTGTTTTAGAACAACGAATGCAAGTCCATAATGGGCCCACTTGTTCCACTTTTAATTAATGGCCGCACTTATAAAGATCCTAAATTTCGTTTTTATAATCCCTAAATCCTTCAATTAGATATAGAAATAGCTATGCCTGCTAGGACTATTACATTCAAATAAAATATAATAGGTCTATAAATAAGACGCTTGCGCGTTCTTATGAATCGCCAAATAGGTTCGTAAGGTAACCACCAGTTCGGAAAGCAGTATCTGTTGAGAAGAGACCGGCAAGAAACTCAACAGTTGCTCTTTTCAAAAAATAAGTTTACAATATGACATACAGGTAGAATAGTCTTATTCTAGCCTACGTGAATATCAACAGTATTAACTCCACACATTGGCGTCGTCGAGATATTCCGCAATAGTTTAATATGCTTTAACCATAAGTTGATTTTTGACTTTACTTTTAAATTGATCAACCATTTCGAAAGGTTCATAACCCAAACAACATTTGGGCAGTCCCCGCCCTGTTCTGTTATATCTATATAAAACTCTGTTTTGTACAGAAATTTTCCCGTCGTAAATGTAATGAAAATAATTCTCAATATCGTTCGGCCATGCTCAGTGAATAGCATTAAAATTACCAAGTCCTGATTTGGAACAAGTATAGTGAAATGTGCATAGCATTGTGTCTGTTAACTACATTGAGATTATGGGCTTAAAAGGTTGTGCTTCCTTTTATTTTATATGTATTACATATATTTTGATATCATTATTCATAACATAATGAATTGTCAATTTAAATTCATTACTCAGTTTTTAGAAGGACTTTATACAAAGACTTCAAAGTCTACTAGTCTCAATTCTATCGATCTATTATTTGTATATATTTATGGATTTTTTTTTGTAAATGACATGGACAGGTTAGGTCGATGCACATACTATTCATATTTAATGTTTAAATACTTTTTGGTTTGCCTGAGTTTAATATTTCTAATAAAAAAAAATCTATTTCTAATTGCTTACTCTTTGCTCCCGCTTTAATTAGAAATAAATTCTCTTATTTAAAATTCAAATTATTTCTTAGAGCAAATTTTGACAACCTAAATCACTTATGCTGTCTCCATAACAACATTAGTATCTTTTCCGGTGTTGCCGCAAGAACATTATTATTGTTTCCGCCGTGTCTTAAATACATTTATTTAAAGTTATCTTGAAAACGGTTAACATTTGGACAAAACATATTAGGGTGAAATCTACCAGCAGTCACCTGAATAATAACGTCCTAAATTATCAGGATCGACTTTTCCTGTTATCTTATATACTTATTACTCCAGAAAAACATTCAATAAAAATTTATCTGATATGATTGTCAATGGAATTCAATTTTTATATTTAAAACTGTGTCAGTTGCGAATGTTGGTGTCCACAAAACTTAAAAACTAGCCGATCTTAACGTGATGTTTGTTCACGACGTAGCTATTGAAGATAGTGTTTTATACACTTTTTAACACGCTTTTATTGCCTTGGTATGTATCTTTGTTTGTATGTATATATATTTTCAGGTAATAAAATCTTCAAAAGTGATTTTGCCCTACATCAAATCTTCAATTAAATTGAAACTTTGCACACTTATCAAGGACCGATGACAACATAGCAATTTAATAAGCTTATTATACATTATATTTTATACATTATCGCTTAGTCTCTACGAAATTATCATAGTTTTCAAACTAAAAAGCAAAGAAAAGTAGGTAAATATCACAATACAAATTGTTATATTACGCCTAGAAAAAAAGAAGTGAGTAGTTTTATCCCAGAGGATGTTAGTAGTGTGACGCTATTTAAAGTAACTAGTCGTTTTATAATTTTCGATTATAATGCTGTAATGTTGTTTTGTTATTGTACAATAAGTATTATTATTAAAATACTTATTCCTTCTTGATTAAATGTATTAACTTTTTAAAAATTGTCTTAGGACTTAACTTCTTATAACTTTTTAAAAATTGTCTTAGGAAATTTTTTAAAACGAAAATAAAATTCTTCTTTAGGATGATTTTTTGGCAGGAAAAATTTGTTATGAACTCTCCTAATTTTAATTACTATCGATGACCATAAATTTATATAGTGATGGAAACAATAAAAACTATTCCCAAATTTCTGCGTTAATGAGCTTGTGATTCTTTTAATGTCATCTATCATTTGGTTGAAAAGTGCACATTCAGCTATCAAACAGTACATTCTTTTTAGAGGTAACAACTGACCCTTCACTGGATTACTGACAAATAAAGTGCCGATGATATTCGGAAAATCAGCAATAAATAAAAGTTGTACGAGTAATAATGCAACGGGGACAGTATAAACAAAACAACATTATCGATACTCGATATTTTTATTTATTTCATCCATAACTGACAATGATATACATTACAAACTAATTAAATAATCACCAAGTATCCTAGCATACTTTCATTAAATTATCCACCGACTAGCCTAAACATCGTCAAAGTTGTTTAATTTCATTATAATTATATGTATGTATGTATGTAGAGAGTAACTAGAAAGAGAGATTGGACAAAATTTATCTTTTTTTTATTAATTTATTTAAATTGACATTATTAAAATACACTGAAATACCCAGCCTAAGTATTAATTATATTATTTAGCATTTTAAAACGAATTTGCCTTTCCCCTTTTTTGTATTAAGATTTGCCCTACACGAAGATTTGCAAGTTAAGAATAAATAATTTACTGACATTGGAAAATACGAACTGAAAAACTACTATCAAATACATATAAGTCTTGTATCTCTTAAAGTATTAAATTTGAATATTAATTTAACTAACATGTTCAATCAGGTTCAAAAAGCTGTCAATTAAAATTGAGAAAAATTTAAAATAGTTTAAATGAGATCGTATAACAACCTAATAACCTATAAACTCTTGAAACATACGATTATGCTATACACCCATCCTTATTACAACATATAAGTAAGAATTTTCGTATCTGAAGAACTGAAATGAAATCGAGCATTTTTTTGGATTTTAACATCATTCATTACAAGGATAAAATAAATATTTTCTATTATTCATATCACAGTACCATAAAGTCATAAACATATAACGTTATATAACACAGAAATAGAAAAGCGCATTTATAAAATACATTAACAGATCTTAAACGCAATTCGAGATTTAACTAGTGCCGGTTGTCCATTTAAAGCACGTTCCTTAGTAATTCCTCCGACGACAGCATGCCATCCTGAAATGTTTTGATAATTTTAGTTTTTTTTATTCATCATCAACATCATTTCAGCCTGTTAGATTCCATTGATGAACAAGGCATCCCCCACAGACTGCCACGAATTGAAAATGAACATTTTTATTGGTATTCGCAACGGCATTTGAACGCAGGTTGTTCGAGTATATCGAATTAAAAGCAAGCACACTGAGCTATCACGGCTTCTCGTGATTATATGATTGCTGGAGTGTTTTAATTTAGCTATAAGTTAATAGTTGCTTACATAGTTATTAGTTAAAAGGTAAAAAGTTCTTACTATAGCAAGCTTCCGTTAAATTTAAAGTAACGGTTTAGTCCATACTAAATTTAACATTTAATAATTCACCGAAATAAAGAAAACAAAAAAACCAACCGGCAGCGAGGTAATTTTACAAAAGCTGGCATTAAAGTATCAGGTAAATAAGTAAGGTATATAGCTGTTATAATAATGGTAACAACAAATAGTTCTTATGCTATAAATATCTTCTTAAAATTATATTATACTACCTGATTGAGATCAATGAATTTCCGGACGACCGAACGAGCGAAGTCAGGGTTGTTTAACATTTCGTTCACGAACCAATCCAACGGGATACTGAAACAATGTACACTGAAATAGCTCTTGGAACGCAAATAACGTAACAAATAATAACACACTAATGAACTATAACTGACTGTGCTGAGGTAACTTGGCTTGGGAGTGCATTTATTATCTGTATCTTTATCCTTAACGGCAAACCTATCAGTCAAGCCTAAAATTTTAAAGAATGTTTTATATATGTCTTATTCTCTGATGGAGCCATTATACTAAAATTTGAATTTGAATTTTATAAATGTCTACATTGTAAATATAATATGTTTATTTTATCGGAATTTCTCTTTTCTTTACTTCAATTTTTTAATAAAGTGCGGTATTCTAAAACATTAAGCATAACATATAAAAAAATCAATGAAATCTGTTTGCATTATAATGATATTTACGACATATACTTTTAGTAATGCTTTAATAACGCTTTTTCTTAAACATCCCATTATGATTTCGGTTCTGTAACTTCATCTTAGATTAAAAAGTTTGCTCGTTTGCTTAATATTGTTTACAAGCTTTGACACGCCATCTTTTATCTAACGCAACTATCCTATTTAAAAGTTTGCCTCAGTAATAGGATATTTTTTGACCTTTAGCTGTTTTAAAATCAGAATGTTTTCTCGTATTTTCTTTCGTACATAAAAAAATGTTCTGATATTAGAGTTTTGAGAATGTTAAATTGTTGTGAAACTAAAACATACCATAAATTAAATTTGATTGGCAAAAGTAATCTTAAAGAAAATATTAACCTTTTAAACTAAACGTTATACAGTAATTCAAGAACTGCTCTTAGACATATTTTGATTAGTTATAATTATTATAAGAGTAATGATATAACCAATTAACAGGGAAAGTAATTACAGTTATAAGCCTTTAGAATTTTTACCTTTCGATATTCTTTTCTTCATTCGCGTCTTGATTTTCCCGCTCTTGAGTATTTTCCAGAGAGTCCCAGAAGTTGTCCAATCCGAAGACTGTAATTAATATGAACATAAAACAATGTACAGCAAGTCATATAAACCTCTCGAAGTGAGAGATAGATAGTCCACAGATAGTAGAACCTTATTACGCCTTAACAGCGCATTCACAAGAAGTAATAAGCAACATTTCGGCAACAATAATAACTCTCAAATCTTAATTACACATCGAAAGCACTTATACCTCGGGACAATTTCGTCATTGATTGTCCGTTATGAGGGCTGCAAAAAAAGGCGCTTCATAATCTCTCGGCTGTCCATTCACCTATTACAGTTGAATACGTGAAGCCAATTAGATGTATTGTCGCTTAAGCTTTTATATGTAAATAAATAAACATTCACTAATGTTCAAAGCGACTGAGGTAGTACGTGTGGGTTTCGAAAAAGTGTAACCCGTGTTCTGTTTATAAACATTAGTAGGAACGTTTCGTGTTGGCTTATATCACACGAAGGGAGTCCCAAGGGCCTTTTCGGTTGATATGTAATGTATTGAATAACTTTCAGTCTGGCACGGTTCACAGGGGTGTTGAATAGAAAAACATTTAAAAAACGAATCGCCAATATATCTTTTGTTTTTCTTGTATAATGGCGTTGGGATCGTCTCAAATAATCGCTTTACCTCGACCGCTTTCTTGCGTCTTATCTCTTTTGCCGTAGCCTCTCGCTATGAGTATATTCGAGCTCGGCTTGAATGTACCCCTGGTCACCCTTATTTCTTCCTCTGTTAGAATATCGATACACTTTCAGTTATTCAAATAGTCTACAAACTAAAGCCGATGAAATACCATCTGTACTTTTTTTGTGTGACGCGGTGGCAAGCGAGCCCACCACCCATTGACATTTGCAACACCTGGGTTGCAGATGCATTGCCACCTTTTAATAAAGTGAGCCCCGGCTACTTCACTTACCAGAAAGGAAACCAGAAATGAAACTCCCACTTCACGCCGTGCTTCTGTGGGGTCGTGGTACCTACCCGGACGGCCCTGCCAAATCGTGTATCAGCGGAGACGTAGCGTAGTGTGTAGCGTGCCCCTACACCAACTTAAGAAAAATATATTAACATTTCTGAGCCAATCTAATATACAAAATTCTCGTGTCACGGTGTTTGTAATTGAACTCCTCCGAAACGGCTCGACCGATTTTCGTGAAATTTTGTGTGCATATCGGCCAGGGTGGAGAATCGGACAGCACATATTTTTCGTCAAACTAAATGTTAAGGGTGGTCCACCCCAAACATTTTATTTCTACCCTAATTGATATGGCAAAACAACGTTTGCCGGGTCAGCTAGTATTTAAATAATATGAAGCTAAATGGCTAGCGTGTCCAGTGTTGAAATTACCTTCTTCATTAACGTCATCATAACCGCTCCTTTTGCCAAAGTCCGGTGCTACCATAAGCCTAGTCTTGGGCTTAAATATCCTGCGTGGTGCTTCGTAGTTATCTATGGGAGTGCGATATGTGTGTTTAGTATGTCGAATTTGTATGGTTTTGTTAGACTTAGTTTTTAATATTATTCATGTGAACAGTTTAATAAGAGCAGTACAGGATATGCACTAAATCATGTAAATAAAATTGTGATACTAGTCACGGCCCTACTTGAGCATATTGTTGATTATTTGTAGAGAAAAATGCAAACGCCAATGCAAGATCACCAGTCTCATTGGTGTTTTTATGAACATCAAGAGCACAAAGCATTATATCTATAACTTAGTTGGATATGTTACGCATAAAAGATACTTTAAGTTATAGTATCATGTTATGTAAGTACCAAAACGATAAGCAATGGAAGGTTCCCATTTTAAACATCTCTCCGCTCGTTCTCGCCCGTGATGTTTTTAAATCTTGTTAGCGCAAGGGGCCAGTATACGGCTCGAGCCCGAATTCTGCCGCAGCGAAAGGCGTTCGTCTTGAAGTGAATTCGATTATTAAACACAAGCGACACATAAAAGACCCGTCCGTGGGCTTCCTGTGCGAACATCGAATGGGTTTTCATTCGCCCGGGTGCGGCCGCGCTGTCCGCCCGCGCCGCATTCTATTGCCGCCCTCCGCGCAATCCCGTTGCCCAATCAAAGCCGGAAACCCAATTACGGCCTCTGTACCTTCCATGTCCAGTTCCGGCGCCCTCTTTCCGAAATCCCTCGCAATACCGACCGTGGGGCTTTTAAACGTCGGCGTGCCGCGGCTCGCGCGCTCTGACGACGCTTGGTGCTCAACGTCGCCTTGAGAAATCGTTTTGGATTATTCGTTAATGCTAAAATTCTACCATTTTTAAAAAGGCGGCATACGAGGCGCCTGGCGGTCGGTAATTACCGCTGCCAATGGTTCGCACAGTCAAATGTTCCTTCTTAAACTTTTAAAAGATTCGGTACCATTTTTATCCATCCGTATAACAGTATTCGTTTCATATATATTCATTAAAAATACTGTTACTGTTACTATATAAAACTTTAAAAGCAGAACTTTAAGATGGACGCGACTTCATCGGAACCATTTAAAATTTCATAATAAATTTTCCGCCCCATTAACGTTTGTGCTGTTACTTGTGCCTTGACAGGCAAGATGGATGCCCGCGGTGCTCGACTTGATCCCATCTTGAATGTGACACACTGCATTAGTATCCTTTTAAAGTAATAAATTTTAAATTTCGTTATATCGTGTATATCTTGAAAGCACTCGACATTTATATTATAATTTCGTATTTTCCCAAAAACATGTAATACTTAAAGCTCTGGCTCTATAAATGTATAAAAAATTTATATAATAACTTAATTAACATCTTTTTACCAATTAATTACGGCTTACAAATAAGGTCACAATAATTTAAATAACAATGATAAAGAAATTATTTATGCCAATTTATTGTATTCTCATGAAATATAAACTTTTCTTCGACAGAAATTGCGTTTGATTAAAATTGAATTAAGAAAAATAAAAATTTAAGTACCTAGTTTAAATTCGTACATTCTACTCAAAGTGATATTAATAAAAACAAAGTAAGAGTAAAGTACAAAGTATTAAAGTAAAATGTTCCACCAGAATAGCTATGCGTTATTTGTTGTAACTTGTCTAGAGCATAACATGGGGAAAACATTGTGCATTGAAAATGATGAAGATATCAAAGTACGCTCAACATTTCAGGTCAATTCTACGCCAATTTCGGTCCCTAAAAGTTTGCCTCCATAATCCAATTACACCGAAAATACCTCCGAGGAAACCGTAACAATAACTAGGGAAATGCAGAGCGCTGGAAATAAAATTAACATCTAGTTAAATAAATACAATGTAAAACAATACAAATATTGTAAATTACCCTGTACAAGGAGATTCCATACCATTACATTTTTATTGTGAACATTCTGTTGAGTTAACCTCTAAATGGCGCTCTGTTTGAAAACAGTAGAGAGAACATGACTTGTATCTGTCTCTTTCTTATCTTATTACGTCTGTTTTAGTTATTTTCCTTGTGATTTTTTAAAATCTTTTACATTCTCCATCATTAAATTAAAATCTACATATCATAAATACGAAAACGAGCTATTTGAAACTATGAATAAGTTAAAAAAGTTACACTTTACGTTAATTGTATTTTTGATAGGGTTAATTAAAATGATGGATGACTCAGTGTTGCAGTTACGAAGCTATTGACTTCGGACAGGTGGTCATAAAGAACGTAGCCAAAACCACCTACTTACAATATGATTCACATTTTGTACCTACCTCACCTAGGAAGGAAAAGAGCAGGAGGATGATGATGGCTTAAAAAATTGATAACTCGCTATTCTTCCTATTTCAATATTAAATCACAAAGTTATACATCATTAGTGGATAAGGCCTTGATACATTCAATTTTAATAAAAGATCTAGAAAGGTTAGCTTTATTTACTAAGTTATCTAAGGCCTGTTCATTAATATTGTTAAATGGGATCCTAATTTGGTAGTGCATTCTCGATGAATATTAAAGTTCCGGTTCAGTTCCCTCGCATCCGGTTTTGCGAAGCCGTTAAAATGATCATTACCAGAACCGTTTCAGCGGAAGCGAACGGATTTGTCTTCGATTTGATGAACTTTATTTCTAAAAAAATGCAATGGATTTTGGGTTAATACTGATCATAAATTGTTATAAATTTCTTGATAGATTTAGATTAGATAATAGATTTTTTTATAAAATACCCTTCCTAAAAATTAAAAAAAAAAACAGTTTTTACATTATACAACAACATGGTATTTACACAAGAACAGTCGATGTACTACAAGATTAAAGTAAAAAAAAAAAACAGAATTGTAAGTTAGAGAAGTGCAATAATGAAACATTAATTATGAATTTAATGTAAGTGCTTTTTCTCATTAGTAATTGCACACAACTTACTTCAACTTATTTCTCATCTCACTAAGTAAACGGTCTACACTACTATATTGAATTATTTGTGTATTAAAAACCGGTTGATGCAAAACTCACGTTCAACCCTGGCGGAGGGCCGGTCGCGCTTCCCGAAGCCCCTGGCCGTCATCATCTCGACGTTCTTGAAGCCGCGGGTGGGCCGCTGCTGTTTCCTGGTGATGCGCGCCTCCGGTGCCCCGTCAACGAGGCACAGGCACACCGCCGCCACCAAGATCACCACTTGCACGGAGATGTTCATCGCTACGGACAGTACGGTGGTGTTATTTTTATCATTTAGTCTAATTTACGGGCTCACGTGTATTAAATCTTTTTTTTTTATGTGAAAAGTTGCCAAACGAGCAGACTGTTCGCCTGATGGTAAGTGAATACCGCCGCCCATGGACATCTGCTACACCCGAGGGTTACAGATGCGTTGACAACCTTTTGAAAATTGGGCTCCGGCTACCTCACTCACCAGACGAAACGCGAAAGTATTTGTCAAATCTAACGCGGACGCTTACACTGGTCCGTACTTATTTTTTTTATGTTAAAAGGTAGGTAGGTACTTCCACTTCACGCCGGTCTTTTGTTGGGTCGTGGTAGGTACTTCCCCGGACGGACCTGGCCATACGTGCAACAGCGAGGACTGTTACGTAGTCCAAAAAGTTGTTACAGAACGACCTCGAAATCTTCTTCCGATTTTGTATGATTCAATTTATTACTTCCTCAAAGAGAGCTATCGAAAACACATTTTCGTTGACAGGTGGTCCTGCATGGTGCCTGGCATGTGGTTTAAACGTGACGTGCAATCCGTAACATGTTAATCGATATGACAATACATGCAAAGAATGAGGGATAATTCAATTTTTTTTTACCCAAACCGAAAACATTTCCATCACAATTAGGTTGTTTCGCGTAGTAATAGACTTACTTGATATTTGTGACATGCGATCAACAGAATTGGAGCCACTATAGTGCAGAGCTAAATTCGCATCAGTGGAATAGCTTTTAGAGGTCCTTTGGCGTTGCTAATATGGATTCATTAGCAACCAAATTTTGAACTATCCGTATATCGCGTAAGCCCGGCTTGGAACGGTAATTTTCATTATGCAACACGCATTATAGTGTTTCCTCTTTAGCTTTATACGTGGGAGGGTGTTGTTAATTGAATTCGAGCTTAAATTTAATAAATAGATTACATTTTACTGCGATGGTAAGTTCTAACCACAACGGTCCCTGTCAATTTTTTTATTCTCACAATGAGACGTGTGGTTGTTAAATGTTGTTCCTACACGTTTGATTATAAATGCTTTTCGTATGATGTTTAAAACAATCAAACACATTTCTTATATTGCATGTAGATTTCGTCGAAATTTTTGCAGACATCAAGTGATCGGACATCTTCGCCGTTGCAATAATGATTGAGAAGTATCACTTTGTAGTTTCGTCTGGTGTTTGAGGTATAACACACACTTTTAAAGTTTGGCAAAGCACCTTCATACCAACGGTTGCTATACAAATATAGGTATGTATGTAAAAAGTAAAAGTAAAGTAACAGCCTATACATGTCCCACTGCTGGGCAAAGGCCTCCTCTATACAGAGGGTATCAGGGCATAGTCCACCACGCAGTCCCACTGCGGATTGGTGGACTTCACATATGTTCGAAATACATTTTTTTTTGTTATTATTTCGAAAATATGTAGGTTTCCTCACGATGTTTTCCTTCACCGCGGAGCACGTGATAAGTCAGCACATAAAGTTAAAAACTTCATTGGTGCCGGCACCGGGGATCGAACTCAGGTTGCTCGAGTATATTGAATTAGGGCGAGCGCCCGGACACTGAGCTATCACGGCTCTTAAACAAATATATGTACAGACGGCGAAAAGCATCTAATAATCTAAAAATGAACCACCAGCTCGCTTGCCCTTTCCATATAAAAAACGGAAGTCTGTCGCTTAGAAGCCGTTTCATCCTATCTCCGTGAACTGCCGAAACTGTCGCAAACTACTAAACTTTCCTTTTAGCGCAAAGAAAGCACAATATAATGGACCCACTCGAACATCCGTTTTATGGGTGCTCCGTTGAAACTAATATACGGAACGACACGCCCACGTTTTATATACATCTTCGGGCTAACAAGCCGGAGGCACGTGTTGCAATGTTTTATAGGGCAATACTGATCTTTTACCGCGCAGTTAACACCTCAGGTTACTTTTATCGCCCCCATGACGACTTTTTGTTACTTTTGTGAATTTACGCGAAACAGTTTAACGGTCTTCATGTGCTAAAAGATTTTTTAATGCCCAAAGCAATAAAATTTTAATAAATCTAACAAAAATGCATAATTTTCCTGAATGTGTACCCAAAATAGTTTTGAATATTTATTAACTTACGTATAAACGTTGTTTTGAATATAACTTTAATTTCCTAATGCAGCCGTAAATGAACTTATTTTTATCGTTTTGAAAAGCCTGTAGCTCATTTTTAATTTAATAAAAACCTAAATTTAGCCCCTAAAGTGTGTCATTAGTGCGTTTTATAACGCAAAGGGAAATAAACACTACACAAGAAGGTTTTAATCGAATCGATGTAAGCAAGAAACCTTATGTCTTAATCTTCAGCTAAATCCAGAAAGACATTGCACTTGTGCGTCTTGTTTGATATTTATACTACCTAAACTAAAGGAAAACGGGTAATTTCAGTCTAATCAGATCAGAGATATTTTATGAAAAGTTTTGGGTAAAATAATAAAAGAAGGTATATAGGTAATAATAAAATTAGTATACCACAACAATGGTAGGGCCACGCATCAGCTCGCTGATACACGAATGGATAAACCTCACAGAAGACCGCCGTGAAATAGAAGTATTATGCTTCTGCGTTTAGTCTGGTGAATGAGGTAGCCGGGGCCCACTTCATTAAAAGGTGGCAATATGGGCGTAGCAAATGTCCATGGGCAGCAGTTATCATTTACCATCAGGTGTACCGCCAGCTCGCTTGCCACCTTATCACATAAAAAAAGTATTAGGTTGGATTTCCCACTCCAACGTTTTAAATACAAACATTGATTTCAATAACTTTATTTCATTTATCAAAGTTAGTAGTTTCAAAGTATTAATTATTAAAGGAAACGTATTGAAAGAAGCAACAACAATCTGCAATAACTGCCAAGAATTCATTGCGAGTTATTTAATGTTGAAAAACAGTGGTTTAATCTAGTAGTTTATTATTGTCATGTCCGTAGCCTAGCCGATCTCTAAGTACTAAGTTATTGGCAAAATCACTGACGTATCAGTGGAGCCAAAGAAGGCGAAAAAAAGAAAATGTTGAAAAACAAGTTCAATCAAAACTTGCTTCCAATAAGTCGAAGTGCTAGTTTTTCATAAACAAGTTGCCTTACACCATACACAGATTGTTAATTTGGTTCAGTAAAAAAAGAATTCAATAAAAACATTCCGTAGCCAGAGAAAACTATTTCTTATTTATTAAAAAACAAAAATATTACTTTTTAAGATTGTTGCGTACATTTTTGTATAAAATCATGAATACTTTCATATAAATTAATCAATATTTACATTATATTGACTTTTGGTACTCGGGTAATTGAAATGTAACAAGACTAAAATATACAACCAGTGGGCCCTGTAGAGAAAGCATCTTCAAGATATAATTTTATTAATATCGGTGTTAAATATATATTCTCGGCCACTAAGTGGCTTGTAAATATTTTATAACTTCATTACTAAAGTTAGGAATAAATGATCAATACAAGCATTAAGATTGAGATGAGATAAGGTGAGATACGGATGTCTTTTTATGTAAAATATAAAGCTTAGGACGTTCTGTATGGTCTCAGTAAGTAATAGGAAAAGTCTGTGAAAACTTAAAAGCAATCGACAGATATTGATAGGTAAAGGATTATTTATGTACTAAAACACTTCCTATAAAAGTTTAATGCACTTAAAAATTATTCGTAAATTTGACTCAAGTTCAGATAAAAAAACAAGTATTCAAAGATATAAGTATGACGACACTATACATTTGGTACAGATATGTAAATCTTGCTAATTACAGTCTTTAAGGAGCAGCATTATTCATCTGTCTTTCTATTTCCACTTTTTTTAATAAAATTGGAACATCTCATCTCAATATAATGCTTCTGTTTATTTTACCAGGACAATGAAAATAACAACAATCGCAATATCAATTTACTTTTAAAAAAAGCAGGCCTGTTGTCTGTTTCAAATTAAAAGTAATAAGTTGATGCAAAAGAATTCCTTTGAAGGCAATTCTTCTGCGCTGCCAAAAGCGTAATACCAAATGAATTAAAATGACAAAGATCTCGTAATTTCCCTAATTTAAGCAAATTTTCGAAAACGATTCGAGAAAATAATTTATGCCCTTATTAAAGTTTAATTATTTATCACACATTGTACGTTCGTTACGTCTTATCCAAAGCAGTCGTTATAACTGTATATGACATTAGTGACATCTCAGTGACAACTGGATGTAGAAATGGACAGTATGACCAAAATAGCGGTAAATGTAGTTTGCCCTGGAACACACGCCTCACATATACAAGAGAATTAAATCTCGACACGAATTTAAAGAAAAATATTTCTAACACTTAAAGGTTATGCTAAAATTAGAATTTAATATATAAATAAATATTAAATTATAATTACAATTTAAGCAACCGCAACAAAATAACACTGACATTTATTCAGGGACTGAACTGACGTACTTTTTACTGTAATAGCATCGTGTTATTTAACCTTTATAATTTTTTTAATTTTATTTAACTACTAACTAAAGCGTACGTTAAAATTCCTTTTTGCATATTTTATGATATGTCCGTGTTACTTATCATGTTTTATTTATGACCTGAATATTTTAATTATAATTTGCGATGTGTTGTGCACCTAAAATACAAAGTGAACACTGGCTTTAATGTTTTTAAAAGATTACAACCAAACCACTTGATAACGTATTAGCACAGCTTTTTAGTATATCTTAATAAATATCCGTCTAAACAAGTATGCATAATGTAGTATATTATACATAAGATAAAAAGAATACATATATATTCATTTAATGGAGATAGTGCTCGCTCGCAACTGCTTTTCAATCATCGATTTATTGAGTTAAACTAATACCATTGTCTAATTATGAAACATACACAAATTTCATATAAAGAAAGCATGCATTGCCTTTCCGACGCGCACCGTGCACGAATATAATGAAACAAACTAAGTTA